TGAAGAGCAAAACCCCTGGAGGAGACGGAGCGTTTGGGTCCAGCAGCATCTTCATGGTGAAGCAGTGAAAGTTCTCCAGAACTAAAGAGGCTGGGATGTCTAAAGAGCTGAAGCTCATGTCTCTGCAGGTCTTCATGGAGGACAGCTAACAGCTTCAACAAAGGCTGCAGATGAAGAGTTGATGAGGAAAATGGTTCCAGCTCTGGAAGCAGAGTTCTCAGAGCTTTGGGAGGATCTTACAGAAACTAAGACTTTTTCTGGAACCAGACAACAATCACCACATTTTGGTCTCAGTTACAAACTCAGAGGAAACTAGTGGAGGAGGAAGAGGAGAGGATGATGACGGGATGAAGAAGATCAACACTGTTCACAAAGTTTATAATTAATGCAACTTTCCATCAAACCTAAACAATTATTTTATAAAAACAGTCAAAGATCCTAAAAGGTGAATTATGGAGTTGCAGCTCAACGAGTGAAGAGAGTTTAAAGTTTAAAAAGTCTCTCTGGATGATTGGATCTTAGAGGAAATTGACATTTTCTAGACTTCAGGATTTTCTATTCATTTCTACCTGAAAACTGATAAAAAGTTAAATATTTTTAAATGATCAAAATGTCTAAAAACCAGAAGCTGCAGCTGTCCTGGATGAACTGAATGAAAACACAATGAAAACATCTGGACTCACCGAGCCTTTCTGCAGTTCCTCACAGCTTGAACCAGTCTCTGTCGTCCATCTGGTGATGTGTTGTACTTCTCCAGGTCCAACTCATCCAGAACCTCTGACATCTGCAGCATGAAGGCCAGAGCTGAACAGTCAGTCACTGAGAGCTGCTTCCCTGAATCCAGCAGCCGTTGGATCTCCTGATAAAATGAGACGTCGTTCATCTCCACCAGACAGTAGAAGATGTTGATGCTTCTGTCAGGAGAGATATAATCAGTGTTCATCTCCTTCAGGTTGGTGATGATTCTCTGGATGGTTTCTGGACGGTTCTCTGTCTGACCCAGCAGATCCTCTAAGAGTCTCTGGTTGGACTCCACAGTGAGACCATGAAGGAAGCGGACAAACAGGTCCAGGTGGCCATTTTCACTGCTGAGGGATTTATACATGACTTTCTTCATGAACTCATCTAGAGATGTTTCATTGTATTCTTCTCCCAGGAACGTCTTGATGACCTCTGACCTCCTGCTGGTGAAGCAGTGGAGCATGTAGACGGCAGCCAGAAACTCCTGGATGCTCAGATGGACAAAGGAGTAGACGGAGATGTTGCCCAGCCCAGTCTCCTCTTTAAACATCTGAGTGAAAACTCCTGAGAACAACGCAGCATCTTTGATGTCGATGCCGCAACGTTTGAGGTCTTTGTCATAGAAGATCAGGTTTCCCTCCAGCAGCTGATCTAAAGCCAGTTTTCCTAGAGTCTCAATCAGCTTCCTGTTCTCTGGATCTTCTTCAGGTTTTCCTCTGTACTTTTCCTCATTGATTTTGTTCTGAAGCAACAAGAACTTGATGTACATCTCAGTCAGGGTCTTGGGCAGCTCTCCTCCCTCTCTGGTCTTCATCACATCCTCCAGAACTTTAGCAGTGATCCAGCAGAAAACTGGGATGTGACACATGATGTGGAGACTTTTTGATTTCTGGATGTGGGAGATGATCCTGCTGGCCTTCTCTTCATCACCTCTGAATCTCTTCCTGAAGTACTCCTCCTTCTGGGGGTCAGTGAACCCTCTGACCTCTGTTACCATGCCAACGCACTCAGCAGGGATCTGATTGGCTGCTGCAGGTCGTGTGGTTATCCAGAGGAGAGCAGAGGGAAGCAGTTTCCCCCTGATGAGGTTTGTCAGCAGAACATCCACTGAGCTGGACTCTGTAACATCAGTCAGGATCTCCTTGTTTTCAAAGTCCAGAGGAAGTCGACTTTCATCCAGACCATCAAAGATGAACAGAACCTGGAACATTTCAAAGCTGTAGATTCCTTTGGTTTTAGAAAATAATTTATGAATCAGTCCTAATAAGCTGAACTTTTCTTCTTTCAGCACATTCAGCTCTCTGAAAGTGAATGGAAATATGAAATCAATGTCTTGGTTGGTTTTGCCTTCAGCCCAGTCCAGAGTGAACTTCTGTGTTAACAGTGTTTTCCCAATGCCAGCCACTCCCATGGTCATCACTGTTCTGATTGGTTGATCTCTTCCAGGTTTAAAGATGTCTTCTCTCCTGATTGTTTCTTGTTTCCTGGATGTTGTTTCAATGCGTCTGACCTCATGTTCCTGGTTGACCTCTCTAGTTAACCCCTCTGTGATGTGGAGCTCTGTGTAGATCTGGTTCAGAAAGGTTTGATTTCCAGGTTCAGCGACGCCTTCAGAGAGACTCTGGAACTTCATCTTCAGAGACGCTTTAAGGTCAGGCTGATACAGACCAACAATATCTGAAGAAAGAAAGAGAAACAAACAAATAAAAACATTTTGCAATATTCTAACAAGTAACTGGACTAATAAAGTGGCCAGTTTGGTTCTTCTTCATGACCTTCTATGAATGTAACATAATTCAATAATTAGAGAAAATTAATGAAAGTCATTCCAAAGTCAGTCTACAAAGACTGTAGTCTAGACAGTAGTTTTCTTTTGTCAACCACTAAAACATTTAGCATGCAGCCCCACTGAATGAGCTGGAAACACAGTCTCTATCAGACTGTGAAGTATCTGCACTACTAGCAGGTCATATGGACTGGGATGAAGGTCCAAAGTAGAGACTGGTTTCATGACTGGCCCAGGATCTGGAGCAGTTGGTCCAGCCAGGTGAAAACCATTTGCCTGTTTTTTCACTTCAAGAGCTTCATGATAGTCAGAGAAACAATGTTGTCCTATCACATGTCATGCGATTCAGCATCCAAGGGAGACGACCATCAAAACGAGAGAGTTGAATCCTAAAACAGTGGAAAAAACTGAAGACGCGCGATGACATCCTGTACAAAGTTTGCAAAGATTCATTAACGGGAAAAAGCAACATCAGTACATGATGGTTTGATCAAAGAGGAGGACATTTTTTGTATTCAGGTAACCATTATTTGGTTGTCAATTTGAGAACTTGTAGATAGAGCATTAAGTCTGGCCAACTCCGTAATGTCACTTTCTATTGAAACATGGAAACCCTTTGTTGCACAGTGATTGTTAGTAAAACCCAGCTGAGTTTAGCTGATGTTACCTTGTAGGTCACTTCTGACCTATGACTGTTTCGAGAAGTTCAGGGGGGAAGACGTAAGCTGAGTTCATTTTGCAGGGTTTTCCTAAGAAAACTTGCTCAGCCCAGCTGAGGCGGCCTACTGGCAGTCCACCATGTGTATTAAAAGATGTTAATTTGACAGGAAATGTAAGAATATTACTGAATAATTACATGTTATAGGACAACATCGCCANACCATTTCCTGAATCAGAAACTGCAATCTCAATCCAATTTCACATAGACTGAAGGCTTTGGCTGTTGGTTCCTGATCATCAGCTGGAGACCCGACTTGGTAACCGGATCAGAACCACTCAGTTTATTCATGAATGGCCTTGGGTTCTTCTTAAAGCTGCTGAAAGCCAATGGAGGCCATTATTTCCTAAGGAGACGTGACCTGATGAAGCTTCATCACAGAGACGAGGCTCCAACCGACTGACAGCTGTCAGACTGAAGAGGACGGTTCCTCTCTGACCCGGCCCAACAGAACCACAGCTTCAGGACAAAGTGAGGAACCTGCTGCTGCTGCTGCAAACCTCACTGTCATTCAGTTCATCTAGATTTGCTTTTCTACAATCAGTCATTTTTTAGATGTTTCATTAATGATGATTTGAACTGGTCAGTGTTTGTGGCTCCAATGGAGGGAAACATTTCATTCTGGATGTAAAGATGAGAATCAGAAATAAAACAATACGAATCTTTACCAACCAAACTGAAACATCGCCATCATTAATTAACTTCATTTGAATTATTTTACTCATTTTGCTCATCAGTCAGAAACATTTTAAAATCTGAAAAACAAAGTTCAATGATCTCAAAGTCTGAAATAAGAAAATGATTAATTTATAAGGTAAAAAGTTTTTGAGATTGTATTCTGGTATTTAAACAGGTTGTTTTATAATATTACAATTAAATTATTAATTAAACTAAGAATTAAAGTGTCAATAAATTATTTTATTGTTTAAATAGAGAAAACAAACCCCAGATTCTTCACTTTACTGACTGAATTCTGCAGGATCTCAAGCAGATTCTTCATATCAGAGTCTCCAAAGGTTGTAATACTGAAAGGTTTTCCTCTCAGTTTAATCTCACTTATTTCCAGTTCAGTCAGATCTGGGTTGGACTTCAGAGATGAAGCCAAAACTTCACATTCAGCCTTATGGATCGAACAGCCACCAAGTCTGTGATGAGAGAAGAAATAAATTCAGTTCTAATGAAATCAATCTGGATCATAAACAGATAAAATATGATAACAGTGATGTCATCATGATGTCATCATCTGATCAACATCTGATCTTCAGTTTACTGAGTTTGACCCGACAGAGAGTCTGTGCAGTTCCTGAATAAAGTCCAGGTCCTGGTTCTGGTTCTGGTCCAGGCTTCATGTCCTCAGACCTTCAGCTCAGTCAGATGTTGAAGATCTTCTATCATCTGTGAAGGAAAGTTCAGTTTCTCTGCAGCATCAGAGCCTCAAAGGAGCTGCAGCAGCTGATGAAGAGGCTGACTGAGCTGAATGAAGGAAACTACTGGAGATGATGGAGAGGAGGAGGAACTGCTCACAGCTCTGACAAGTCACACTGACTTGGACTAGACCTTTGGGAGGATCTGACAGAAACTAGGACTTTTTCTGGAACCAGACAACAATCACCACATTTTGGTCTCAGTTACAAACTCAGAGGAAACTAGTGGAGGAGGAAGAGGAGAGGATGATGACGGGATGAAGAAGATCAACACTGTTCACAAAGTTTATTTTAATGGTTCAACTTTCCATCAAACCTAAACAATTATTTTATAAAAACAGTCAAAGATCCTAAAAGGTGAATTATGGAGCAGCAGCTCAATGAGTGAAGAGGAGTTTAAAGTTAAAAATGTCTCTTTGGTTGATTGGATCTGTCAGAGAAAATATAAATTTTCTACAATTCAGGGTTTTCTCTTCATTTCAACATGAAAACTGATAAAAAGTTAAATATTTTTAAATGATCAAAATGTCTAAAAAACTAGAAGCTGCAGCTGTCCTGGATGAACTGAATGTTTAGATGTTTGAATGGCTGAAATCATCCAGAGGATGAAGGAAGTAGTTAAAGGCCAAAAACATCCAGAATCAACTTGAAGAAAGAAGAAGAAACAGGAGGACAATAGTGCTGAATCAGCATTCACACAATGAAAACATCTGGACTCACCGAGCCTTTCTGCAGTTCCTCACAGCTGGAACCAGTCTCAGTCGTCCATCATCTGATGTGTTGTACTTCTCCAGGTCCAACTCATCCAGAACCTCTGACATCTGCAGCATGAAGGCCAGAGCTGAACAGTCAGTCACTGAGAGTTTCTTCCCTGAATCCAGCAGCCGTTGGATCTCCTGATAAAATGAGACGTCGTTCATCTCCACCAGACAGTAGAAGATGTTGATGCTTCTGTCAGCAGAGATTCTATCAGTGTTCATCTCCTTCAGGTTGGTGATGATTCTCTGGATGGTTTCTGGACGGTTCTCTGTCTGACCCAGCAGATCCTCTAAGAGTCTCTGGTTGGACTCCACAGTGAGACCATGAAGGAAGCGGACAAACAGGTCCAGGTGGCCATTTTTACTGCTGAGGGATTTCTCCATGACTTTCTTCATGAACTCATCTATAGATGTTTCATTGTATTTTTCTCCCAGGAACGTCTTGATGACCTCTGACCTCCTGCTGGTGAAGCAGTGGAGCATGTAGACGGCAGCCAGAAACTCCTGGATGCTCAGATGAACAAAGCAGTAAACTGATTTCTGGAAGATCACACTCTCTCTTTTGAAGATCTCTGTACAAACTCCTGAGTACACCGAGGCCTCTGTGACATCCAGACCACACTGCTCCAGGTCTTCTTGGTAGAACATGATGTTTCCTTTCTCCAGATGTTCAAACGCCAGCCTCCCCAGCTTCAGAAGAACTTCCCTGTCAGCCTCCATCAGCTCCTGTGGACTTGTCTCATGTCCTCCATGGTACTTGTTCTTCTTCCTCTTTGTCTGGACCAGCAGGAAGTGTGAGTACATGTCAGTCATGGTCTTGGGCAGCTCTCCTCTCTGCTCTGAGGTCAACATGTTCTCCAGAACCGTAGCAGTGATCCAGCAGAAGACTGGGATTCCACACATGATGTGGAGGCTCCTGCAGGTCTGGATGTGGGAGATGATTCTGCTGGACAGCTCTTCATCACTGAACCTCCTCCTGAAGTACTCCTCCTTCTGGGTGTCTGTAAAGCCTCGTACTTCTGTTACCCTGGAAACACATGAAGGAGGGATCTGATTGGCCGCTGCAGGTCTGGTAGTTATCCAGATGAGAGCCGAGGGAAGCAGGTTCCCCTTGATGAGGTTTGTCAGCAGAACGTTGACTGATGACTTCTGTGTGACGTCAGAAACCAGCTGACTGCTGTTGAAGTCCAGTGAAAGTCTGCTTTCATCCAGGCCATCAAAGATGAAGAGCAGTTTGCATTTAGCCAGCTGCTCTGCTGGGAACTTCTGGAGTGTTGGATGGAAAACATGGAGCAGAGAGAGAAGACTATGCTGCTCACCTCTGATCAAGTTCAGCTCCCTGAACGAAAGTAGAACCACCACACTGACATCTTGGTTCTCCAAGCCCTCTGCCCAGTCCAGAGTGAACTTCTGCACTGAGAAGGTTTTTCCAACACCAGCGACACCATTGGTCAGAACCACTCTGATGACTCCATGTTGGTCAGGGAAGGATTTAAAGATGTCATGGCACCTGATTGGAGAGTCTTGGAGGTTCTGGATCTTGGAAGCTCTCTCCAGCTGCTTCACCTCATGCTGGGTATTAACATCTTCTCTCTGTCCCTCTGTGATGTAGAGATCAGTGTAGATCCTGTTGAGGAGGGTTCTACTTCCTGTTTCATCACTCCCTTCAGTCACACATTCACATCTCCTCCTCAGACTGATCTTATGTTCCTCTAGA